CTCGGTCGTGAAGTTGGGAGAGGGGACAGATCGGGGACACTAAAGTCACAGCCAATCATTCAAGGCTTCCTTGTGTTTTTGTATAAAATCCCATCATTGATTGCTCTTTGCTGCGTAACTATCACTGAGAGCCTTAGGACAGACATTCACTAAGCAAGACTCTTCTAGTCCGTTCCCCACGGAATTTATAAATGTGTGTTTTTCAGTGTGAGGTATGGTTGCCCTATTTATTTGACAATGTGTGAAAGATACACCAGGGAATCCATAAACGCCGTCTAGTTACTGGTTCGCCTTATGCAGTCGACGGAAGCCGCTTTATTGCAAACGTGAAGTAATGTAGGTGATACCCTGATCCCTTTACGATCCTAGTTTTACTTTCTTCATTTTATCGTTTTGCTAAGGAACTATTGTGCCACCCTGCTAACCCTGCAACAGATGCTAACCCTAGCGAGCACAATGAGTCGGATTACAGGTATGGTTAGCGTTACGTTTAGAGTTAGGGTGGGCGTGTAATACGGTCTAATCCAATGCTAAAAGACAGCCCACTTGAACGAAGACGGTGAACATACAGATTTATTTTTATTGCCACCGGATTACCGCCTCTTTCCTTCCTTTAACCTGCCCTACTTCCGTTGCTACCGTTCCTGTAGTACACGCCTATCTCTCGACTGTGTTCACTAGTAGTGCTGTACCAAAGTTCGTTGCCGGTTAGTAATGTCACAGAACCCTTCGTTGCCATAGTTTGTTATGAGGCACATAACTAGAGCTGATAGGGGAAATAATAATTGCTGTCTTCATGGCTTCCAAACCATCAGAGTGACCGCCAACACGTATTTCGCTAATTTCGACTGGCAGTAAAGTGCTCTGAGAAACTGCATTGGGGAGGCGTTCGCGCTGATTTAATTAGGACAAATTGTCAGTCTGCCCTTATTGTCCTTGTCTGTAATAACGCCTCCCGGTTACTGATAACTTCTTGCGATCCGACCGCTTGTGAGGTCTCTAAGGCGTGGACCCAAACCA